CTCTTTAGGGTTTGAATCGAGCACCCGTTTTCAAATTTATAAGAAAAAGAGTAACTTTTGAAATTTTAAGGCTGTCTGATTTTAGGGTTTTTCTTTAATGTTGTGTTTGAATAAAATTCAGGAATTGAGACTGCTGGTAATTAATTTCAAGTTTTTCCGTGTGTTAGGGTTCAAAGATCATTGCTACTTGTTAAGGAGCCTTCTCGAATTAAAAACATATTGTTCTTGATGGATAAAGATAAGTCTTCTAACCAATGCCCTGGGAGTTTACTGCCTCCATCAGGGAGGTTCTCTGTTTTTTCTCCTCCTGGTAGTGGTTATAATGCAAAGTCTGGGCAAATGGGATCGTCAAATTTGCCTCCACTAGGCCCAGGGAGTTCATCGGAGCAGGGTCATTTTGGTCAAGGGTTGCAGTTAGATGATATAAGCCAAATGCCTGATAACCCACCTAAGAATCTTGGGCACCGACGTGCTCACTCAGAGATTCTTACCCTTCCTGATGATATTAGCTTTGATAGCGATCTTGGTGTTGTTGGAGAATTTGAACCATCATTGTCCGATGAGACACAAGAAGACCTGTTGTCAATGTATCTTGACATAGATAAGTTCAATTCAACATCTGGCATTTCTGCAGTCCAAGTGGGTGAATCATCTAATCCGACAGCGGCAAAGTCAGGTCCTTTAACCAACCCTTCAACCGATAATGTGGTTCTGGATTTAAGTGAGAACCCAAGAGGTAGGCATCAGCATAGCCAATCCATGGATGGGTCTATGAATCCAGATATGCTCATGTCAGATTTGGAAGAGCCGTCTCCTGCTGAGTCAAAGAAAGCGGTATCTGCAGCTAAGCTTGCTGAGCTTGCTCTTGTTGATCCAAAACGTGCTAAGAGGTAAGGTTTTTGCATGAAGGTATTAATATATTCCCGTGATTCCTATTAGTTTTTCTGGTTCTTGTTTCTACTCTGACCTATTAGTTTGCTGAAGCAATAAATTTGTCGTCTACATTTTTGTCGTCTTCTGTTTATCACCCCATATAGGAACTGATCAACCTAATAATAATGCTTGACCTGAATCTTTTCCTATTCTTCTATATATTCCACGTGGCTGGTAATTTGTAATTATGATATACTTGAGGATGAAATTTATCATAAATAATTTTGCCTTCGAATATTGGATGTGTTCTTCAACTGCCCGTAAACATAGAACATGGCAGCTGGAGTGTTGTGGCTTGGCAGTGTTACTTTCTCATTTCTGCCTGAATTGACCTCATGGATTGGATTATCGTGAAGGCTGCTTGCTGTTTTGGAGCTCGTATGTCCATTCCGATGGTTGTGATGTTATTGATAGAGGTAGCAGTGTTCTTTATCTATTGAAGAATTAGCTTGGGGTTACAGAAAATGGAGGGGAGAGAACATCAGTAGATCTAGTCTAATTGTTTATTTGATGGACAAAGTTGGAATCATGGAGGTCAAATTACCATATATCGTTCCAATTCAAATCAGGTCACTTAGCCCTTTGACTTTTCTCTTAAAAGAATGATGTGCTGGCAAGTCAATCAAAGTCCGACCCACGTACAGTTCGGAGCCCACCCCACCCCACCCCAGCCTAGAAATCAGGGTGCGGCTTAGTTTGGCGAGGAGTTCTCCCTTCCTCTTTCTCTGTCTTCTTTTTGCTGCTTTTCTCATCTTTTCACCAAAATAGAGTTATATTTATTTATGTTTATGTCTCTGTATGATTCTTGCTGCCTGACATTTCAATGTTGAAGCCAGCGATAACTACTTTCCATCAAGTCTGTAAACAAAAATGGAAATCTCTTGCAATGCTACATTCTTATTCATTGGATAAGTAAGCAGGTGAGTCTGCAATACAGCGAAAATTTCCAAAAAAAAGTATCAACTTTTTTTCAATTGCCAGCAAACCCGTTTTGCAAGCAATTCTGCCAGTTCCCAGGGCAGAGGAGTTATAGTTACCATTTTGCTTTGGAAATGATCATATTGATGACGGCAAGTGGTAGGTTCTTCTTTACTCAGTTTGGTAGGATAATTTCTGCATTCTCTCTCTATCTCTGGTTTTTATCTTGAATTTCATTCAATTCAATTGGTGCTAAATCTTTGTTCTTGCCATTAGCAAGCTGACCAAAACCTCCAATGGCTTTTCCTATCTTCACATTGTTAGCATATGCATGTTTCCTGCTTGGAATTTCGTTGAGAGGGTGAGAGCATTTTTATTATGTAACCCACTCATATCCATATATTTCATCCAATGTGTAACAGGATTTGGGCAAATAGGCAATCAGCTGCTCGTTCGAAAGAACGGAAGATGAGATATATTGCTGATCTTGAAAGGAAAGTCCAATCTCTGCAGACTGAAGCTACTACCTTGTCTGCACAGTTAACCATGTTGCAGGTGATTTTTGACTCTTCTCCCGCACTAACTATTAATTTTTTTGATGGATAGTTCCCCTCCCTTCCCGGTCTATTCTTATGCAAAAAGTAGAAAGTAAAAGAAAAGCAAACAGTTGAATATAAAATTGTAGCTAAAAATGTCGAGTGTTTGCTTATTATCCATTGCTGGTTTTGGAATCAAATTGCCTTTTTTCGTTGCTCACTAGCATAAATAGTGGCTTCCAGGAGTGAACCACTGCCCTCTTTGTTTAGCTGGTGGTAATTCCTCTCCCATGAGATAGACAGGTTCTTGAAAAAACAAAATAATGCTTCGTATGGCTTTGCAAGGAAATGATGAAAGTTAGTTTATAGGTTGGAGTGTTTAATTTCCCTTGTAAAATACTGGTGCTGTAATTATATCAACTTACATATGTAAGAATGAAATCTTCTGTTTAATTTTTTCATCTTTTCATTTTACCAACAGAGAGATTCAAACAGTCTTACAAATGAAAACAGTGAACTCAAAGTGCGAGTGCAAACAATGGAACAACAAGTTCACTTGCAAGATGGTAAGACTCGGCATCTTTAACTACTACTGCTTGAATTTTCACCCCATCTTTCTTGCTGTCTTCCCACTACTTGGTCTTTAAAATATTTTGAAAATAAAAGATGCAGACTGAAGCAAAGATGGAACTTAGGACATTTATTATTGACCTTGGTATATAAACTGAAAAAGAAAAAATATTTATTGTTTCCTGCCTTCTAAAGAATAAGAGCCGACCAGCATTTGATGATTGATTGTGTGTACAGAATTCAGTTCTTAACCTAGAGATTAAAGTTCCTTGTTTTTTGCGGAAATCTTAATAAGATGCTAACTGATGTTTTTGCACTCTTATTTTATCCTAAACACAGCATTAAATGACGCGATGAAAGATGAGATCCAGCATCTGAAAGTGCTGACTGGTCAAGTAACGCCAAACAGTGGACCTATGTTGACTTTCCCTGGCTCTGCATCCTTTGGATCCAACCAGCGGCATTATCCCAATACTCATGCTATGCACACAATGTTAACTGGTCAACAGTTACAGCAGCTCCAGATTCGTTCTCAGAAGCAGCAGCATCAGTTACAACAGCATCAACTGCTTCAGCAGCAACAAGCTAGGGACTTGCAACTGAGAAGTTCGATGCTCGCCCATATCCGAAAGGACCTCCCTCCAGATGCGTCCTCAAGGGATTAGAAGTGGAAATGGATGTGTAATTGATACTGGGAGGTTAGTGTAGTTCAGGAATCTCGGTGGTTGTCATATATCTTAGGTTTGCTCTTTTGGTTAGTCTGTTTAGGTCAGAACTACAGGATATTACTTTCTCTAGGCAGTCTATTGGATTTTGGTTGGTTAACTTTGAAAGGTTTTTGGATTAAATTATCGTCATCTAGATGTCAGTTTCTTAGTCTATTCAGAATTTCCTTTTTAGCTGACTCGTTTTGATTATTGTGGTTTTTTTTGGCTTCTCTCTCTCTCGCATACTTGCTGGCAGACACAAATAGGCGCATAAAAATGTAGAAAAGCCCTTTTACGCATGTTTAGATACTAATGCTTATTAGCTGTCGTCTTTTATGTATGGAATCTGATGAGTTGGTCAGCCATTTGAATCTGCTAGATATTTCTAGGCAACCTCTTGAACTGAAGTTGCTACCTCACTTCCCTTAGAACTCTGTTCCTTCCCCTCCTCAGAATTCTATTTTGTTGACACTAAACTGATCTCATATGTACACAATTCTGTTAAAAGGAAAATGATTAGGCACATAAATATTTTCGGAAAAACACTAGAGGAAGGTAAAACAAAATAAGCATCACACTGTCACGTAGTTATTAATCAGCTGTACCTATTTAAGCAAAATGATTAGGCAGGTAGAGATTTAAGGCTAAGGTTTCTGAACAAATTGATGAACTTGAAGACGGTAAGGGAGTGTAGCAATGTGATTATGAGCCACAGTTCCAATTCACAACTTCCCATTTGCCTCTTTTACTTCACACACTAGCTTCAGCACTAAACCCTTTTTATCTTCAAGAACGTCCAATATATCTCCCTTATCATTGAGTAGTGGTACCATAGAATACATCCTCAGTCCCACCAACCTGGCTAAATACCTCATCGGAATGGGCATTTGGAAGTTTATGCTCCTCAACCATGGATTGTGAATGAACTCCTGTGCTTGAGTCCGACAACAATCAATTGCTACCTAAAACTGGCCTTTTTTGTTAAGCCTCGTGTTGTCTGGGCATCCTGGAAAGTCTGCAAAGAGCTTACTGCTACCCTTTTCAGAGCCCTCTAAGAAGTACTTCATGATCCTGTGGCAATTTAATGAGTTTCTACTTATAAATATAACATTTCTAGAAAATTAATGAAAAACTAATCATGTGATGAACAAGAGAGTGTAAACCTGAAATTAGTTGTTTCAGAAAATAGAAGAAAGGATTAGTCATTAGATAATTGGACTCCATTTGGAAATGCCAAACTCTCCAACACTACGTCTTGTTCTTGTAGGTAGATCATATCTAAGGAGTGTACCAGTAGCTTCCCCTTCCAACATTATGAAGAAATGGTCCATGCAATAACCAAATAAAAAACATATAGCTACCCATTTGTGTAAAATATTTACCGATTTGAACCCAAACTTCAACGAACTTACACCCAGTTTATTCTTGCTGGTATCAGCGAAAAAGATGGATCCATTGTTATGAATATCAAGATCATTCGTGAAAAGAGTAGGCTTCCTGTCTACACGTGTTGCCAAAGGAGAGGCAAGGCCTCCTTCAGGTCCAACTACCAGAAGGCCATAGTAAGAATCTGCAATGTACAAATCTCCACTCTTTCTGTCAAACCTGAGGCCAAGACGACGGCTACACCTTGTCTTAACTTCCATTGCTTATGTGTAGTTGAATCAACACCTTTAGCACATAGCTTTTCAATCCTTGGGAAATAGGAACATACAACAGGCCATGTTGAGATTCATTTATGGTAGAAAAAAAAGATTACCAGTTATGCATCACAAGTGCAAATGTTTCCCATCCTGCATCTTTCCCATCCAGCGTACAATACGTCCATAGCTATATGTATGAGGTCCATGGCCCCAGATATCAAACTCCAATGACTCGGGTCCAAAAAATTCATCCTTGAGCTCCAAGTTTCCCAATTCCTACCAGCTCCGGTTGTCTCCTGGCCAACTCTCCATTACTTTCTGGTACATGCAATGTCATTTTTTACAGGTTTAAAGTCATGGACCCCTACTGGACTCAAC